AAATATTTTTACAAAGGATTAGAGAATACATGGGACTTTTCTACATTCCTATAAAAACTGTTGCTCTATACAATAATAAAAACTATATTATGAGTTTCCTAAACTGAAGATGGAGCTAAAGGTTAAACTACGACTATATTGCTTGGGTGACAGACTGAAGGTTATCCTCTAATACCCGGTCTCCCGGTGAGTGTAGATGTACGTGCAGCACACAAGTATGCAGTTAGAGAAGTTAGGGGTAATCACTAACTCTGATTCCAGTGGCTGTGCTAATATGCCCAAACATTAATAATTATACTGACTTTTCAGATTTTAGGCTTATTCTGGAAGCCCAGAATAAAGACATTTCCCAACATATCAATGGGGGGAGGCAGGAAAGGAAAAGAAAACATTTGCACAAAATGAGTCAATTTATGGCTTGAATCTAAGCATGGTTCTTTGATCTCAATTTGTTATCCTGTACTTCTATTTATTTTGTGTTGTTCTAAAAATAAAAAGAAACACAAAAACCACTATAAATTAAGGATGAATATGAATATTCTTCCCATCTTCTAAGATCCTAGCAGCTACTCTACTGAAGTAGATAATCCACCAATGTGATGGAATGATTTTTATATAATATGCAAGGATCAAAAAAACTATCAAAACAACAGAAGCAGGTCTGAGACTGATCTCTCTCAAGCACCATCTGTTTAATCACATAGAATCACTGATCAGGCATACGTCTCCAAAGAACTGAGAAAAGAGCCATAAGGCACACTTATTACTTAAAAAGATTTTGCCCCCATAATAGGTTTGTCTTTCTCTGATAGAAGATGAATAAGATATTTAATTAAAAAATAATTATAACCTAGTACCCTGTATGTCTTTGTAAATTAATTTAATTTCTAGACATAATATATTTGCCTTAAAATTAAGTTCACTAAAGTTTTGTTTCTTTTAAAAATTGGTATGGCTGGGTATAGGTGTAGAGTAGGTAGAGTCAGTCTCTTCAAGGAGTGGTCAGCAAATTTTTTCTGTGAAGGGCCAAATAGTGAACATTTTAGACTTTGCAGGCCATACATTCTCTGTTGCAACTATTCAACTTGGCCATCATTGTAGCTCTGAAGCAACCAGATAAAAAGTAAATGAATGGGTATGACTGTGTTCCAATAAACCTGTTTACAAAAACAGGAGGCTTAGCCTGTGGGCCATAGGTTGCTGACCCCTGTCTTACAGTATTACCCTGGCTTTTCTTCATGCTTTGGAGACTTCGCCCATTTTCTGACAGTTATCAAAAGTCTTTATCAAAGATGAAGGATTTCAGCCTTGAATTCATCATAAAAGGATTTGGTAGTGGTGATATTAGGGGGAGTACACGTAGTCTGGCTACTTCACAAGACTGTTTAAGAGTCAGATGAGTTCAAATCAAATCTAATCAAATCAGAAAATCCTGGGTCAACTTTAAAGCAATACATAGTGTATTGTATTATAAATAATTCCTTATTTATTACAGCACATAAAACTGAACGGCCACACAACAATGAATAAATCCAACATCTCTAACTGAACTTCCATAATTTCACTCCCTTTAAAATTATTTCTCCTATCTTCTCATTCCATGTATAATCTACGAACTTAAGCTTTCCGTTTACCTGCTAGAAAAGATTGCTTTGTGGTGTTTGGTACCATTAACTAAAATAGGCTCTATATTTCTATTATTTAAAATATTCTATATATTTTTATTCCTTTTGGAGCATAGCAGCCCTTTAATCCTTTACTAAAGGGACAGATTGCAATATAGAAATATTTCAAGTGGAGAGAGAGAGCTTAACTTTCACTTCATACCTCCCTTACAACCCCCACCCTACTCCAACCCCAGGCCAGTCAGTATGCTCAGTTTCAGATGGAATGGAAGAAATATTGAACATATAATAAACAAAAAAGATAGATAATTTTCCACATATTAAAGTCTGCTCCCCATGTGAGAGTCTTCCTGCTTCCTAATCCTGACCACCAGGCAGCTCTGAAGTAGAAGAACTCTTTATGGCTCTAAGGGTATAGAGACACATAGGAGTAGGAGCAGGTTCCTACTGAAAAGCAAGGAAAGAAATCTTTGCTCTTTCTTAATTACTTCCAGTGTAATTAAATTGTGATTATGCCTCAGGTATATTTCATATATTAATATCTAGAGACAACTTGATTCAAAGTTCTTGACATTATTAAGGAAATTAAAATATATAAAGTTATTTTGGTAGTAATCTGGTTTGACTGCACTCAAGCGAGAAATCTTTTAAATGAAAACAGTGACTCTGTGCCTGGGCTTCAAGATAAGTCAGAGACTGCAAGAAGAAAAAAATAGTTCTTCTCAAACTGGACTACAAAGTCAAAATGCCTTGTGAAGAAAGACCATTCACCCACCACGGCACTGGTAAAGAGCAACGTCTTATTTTTGACAAGAATTATATCAACTCAGTGTGACACATCCCACACAAACAGTAGATCTGATATGAATGAGATTTTTTTTTTTATAGAAAAGAAAAATGACTAAATAAATGAATAAATGCAGTTCCTTTCATGGACCAAATCTAAAATATGAAGCCTAAATGGGGGTCCTTGGTGGTTAAAAGGTTGTCAGGGACCGGCCCTGTGGTGGCGTAGTGGTCAAGTCCTGTGTGCTCCGTTTCAGCGGCCTGGGTTTGAGGGTTCGGATTCCGGGTGCAGACCTACACTACTCATCAAGCTGTGCTCTGGCAGCAATCCACATACAAAACAGAGGAAGACTGGCACAGATGTTAGCTCAGGGCTAATCTTTCTCAAGCAAAAACAAAACAAAACAACAAAAAAAGGTTATCAGTCTGATACTGACATTGTATCTAGCATAGAAAAGGGAAAAAATGAGTAGGAAATAGGAAGAGAGCCAGGCTACTTCTAGTCCTTTCTGAGTCATTCCTTTGCTATGTTTTTTTTTTTTTAATATTGTATTACTTACAGTGTCAAAGTATTTTCAAATTAAAATTAAATCTCTCAATAGCTATTTCTAATGGGTATACTTCTCATCTTACCATCAAAATCAAAATTTTAAAAGAAGACTCCTACTATTCAAAGAGGACCAACTAAAAAAATTACTAATGCCATATGATATGAGAGTAAAATTCAGGTGTTATTCCCCAGTATTAAGCCAAATAATTGTGATGACTGTCAGTTCTGTCCTAAAAAAAGCTTTTACTAGAAGCCTTAAAACCATGTGTGAGTTTTCTTTCTTCCAATGCTGGGAGGCAGCTCTGAAGAAGAGAAAATCTTTACAGCTCTCAGAGGATAGAGATATATATGAGTTGTAGCAAGTTCTTATCTAAAAGCAGAAACTTTTGCTTTTTCCTATTATCATAAATATCATATTCATGTTATTATTATTATCATAATCATAGTCTACAATTATTGAACCAAGATAAAAGAAGATAAACAACATGACTTTCTGTTACCTTGCTCCTAAGAACTTGCTAGATCATGATATTTACACTAGAGTATGCCAAATTAGATTAAACATAAACTGCTAAGGCTAAAAGATGAAAAGTGTATAACAAGAAAAGAATCCTAAATTGCTCTGTAGTTTCAAAAACACCTAAAAATCACAGGTTGGTAAGTGGGTTTTTTCAAGAGAATTGAATTTCCATATTAAAATACCAGAGTGAAAAAAGATAGTCTGTAGATCTGAAAATAGGTACTAAAATTCTAAACTTTCCCCCTTTCTTCTCAGTTGCTAATAAAAATCTTTAGAAAATTACTCAGCTTCAGTTTTCTAAGTCTTGAATTTCTCTATCCTCTAATTTTTTAGCTAGAAAATTAAAGAACCAAGAGATTCAGTAAAGCATTCGGAAAAAAAGACTCCAAAAATGTTAAACTCAAACAATGTGAAATACAAAACTGGAAATACTACTTAAGAATATAAAATACTAGTTTCTGTCATCAATGGTGGCAAATGGTTTTGTTTGTTTTCAAAGTGCGTGCACTCACGACTAGATGAAAAGAAACTGAAACCCTGGCGCACACATAAAAATTTATCAAAAGGCACTAGGTATTATTACTGTCTATACTCCACGGCGCAAAGGAGATTTTAGGGGTCAAGGAACATCGTTTTCATTCAGTTTGGCACTTACTCTCTATATAAATATCATGATTATTGTTCACTTAGAGGGTAATCTAAAAATATAAAGTTACTTTTGCTTCTTCTCATCCCATCTACTTTTCTCCCTCTCAAATTCTGCACATGGAAAAAAAGAGGCACAGTTTAAGCCACAGAAAATGTCAGCTGCTTTCCTAGGAAGTTGAATAGTCCAGGATCACACAGTGCTAGCTTTTTCCAGGATCACACAGTGCTAGCTTTTTCCTTAAGATAACAAGAACCCTGAGGGGAAGACTGTTGTGGGGGAGAGAGAAAGAAACTGTGTGTGTGTGCGTGTGTGTTACAGAAAGAGACAGAGGGAGAGAGAATGGATTATATTCTTAGAAGATACAGAAATATTAGCAACATGATTTGTATGTATCAGTGTTAACAATAATCTATTTGGTATTTGTTATTTTTAACTGGGTCAAACATAAAACTAATAAACTAGAATTGTAAATTATATGCCATAGATAAAATAATCAGTCATAGATTTAGAGAGCAGAAAAATCATATTGCATGTCACCTTCACTAACATTTATTAAACATATTTCTTAAGCAAACTATAAATAGCATCTTTATTTTAAAAGGTATAAAAACTTTTAAAAAAATAGTTAAAATCTGGACAGTTGAAAAGGGAAAAATTTATTAAATAACCATATTAGTATGAAAAGGTGCTTTAAAGGTTAAGAGATTTAGGATTCAAAACTTCGACAACAAGTAAGTGCTCAAATCAACATACAATTCTTCTGTGAGTTTTCAGACATTGCATAAGAAATCTGGAATAATTAATTACATAACATTGATCAGTAAAACCCAATTAGAAACAGTTATACCATAGCAAACAGAAATGAATTACCTCGTCTTCGCCCATAACTCCTTGCTGCATGTAAACAAAGGACAAATTGTAAAATGTCAGAACTAAAAATAAGCCCACATATACAAATATCTGTGATAGGAAAAACTATGTGGGCATCTGGAAATTAGTGCTACTTTGTTTTAAGAGCTACAACAATGTCACCATATAACATCTGCATGATGTTTTACCATTTACAAAGCACTTTTATTATATATATCATCTGAACCGTGAAATTAACAGGAAATCCTTATTTTTCTATTTATAAAGAGTGATATAGCATACACAGTCCAACAAATAGCTATTTAGATCCAATTCACATTATACCAAGCCCTGCATGGAAAAGTACTAGAAGACACAGAGTGAAAAGATATAACAATATCTTTTGATTGATACTCTGAAGCCTATACAGCTTAGATAGAATGCAAAGAAATCAATCCATATTCAAACCTCTTAGTTGAGGAAATGATTAATGATATATTATAGCTAATAATGCTTTCTATCCTTTTGGTATATTTTGTAACAGCTATCTAAAAGTTTATGTCTCCAACTCTGGGGTAAGAGGGATTCAGATACAAATTATTAGTAGTATCATCATAGAATAGTATATATGTTAAATATTGTAAAAGTATAAAGCACAGAGGCATTTAAATCTGTATTACTAGCAGTTTACATAACTTGTAATGAAGAAAAAATACTGCAACTTCTTTTTCATAAGAAACTACCAGTTTGATAAAATCCACAACTTGTTTTTAAATAACTCCTCCCCTCAAATCTGAGTAAACAATGAGTATTTTTACACTAGAATTAACATATGAAAACAAAGCAGTAAACCAAAAACTGACTGTTAAAATTAAGATCTTAATTCATGTTCATGTCTTTTTAGGCCTGGGAAAAATTTGATATTGAACAAATCTCAAATCAAAATATATATTAAAAGTTGTCAGCAGTGTGTCCCCAAAAGTATAAAACTTAAAGATCAAAAGAAGACCCTTCACATCATTAAATACATTCTATTATAGAAGGTTTACAAAATATATTTTTACTTTTATACTAAAGCTTTAATACAAAGAAGTATGTCTACAAAGTGAGATTACAGTATTAGCTCCCCTATAATAAAAAGAGGGAAAAACAAACTTGTCAACTTCTAGTCATTTACACTTCAAGAAATAAATCAATAGATATAAGGCTTACATCAGTCTTTTATATAAAACAACTTCATTTGCTTGTCTTTTTACTGTCATTATTTAGCTATATAATCTACTGCAGACCTAACCTGTCCATGAGCTCCAATTACCTCAAAGCCCTACAGATTTCCTCGGCCTGTATATTAGTTTATATGTAGCTTACCTGTATGTATAGTTTACACATATATTACCTGTATGTGTGTGTGTGTACACACACACACACACACATATATATATATCTATATATAGATATATATATATAGTTTAATATATAGCTTACCTGATCTATACATTAGTGTTTAGGGTGAGGGTAGGGGTGGAAGTGGCATTTAGAATTTTGTTGTCTAGGTCTTCTAAGACTTAGAAAGGCTTTAAGAAAAACAGGGTCTAAAAGAGATGAGACATCAATTGTGGAAAATCAGATTGATAACAGGAATTTTAATAGTGTTATCAAGAAGAGGCGATAGAAGAATGAATTCCCTGAAGTCTTAATAGTTATATTAAGCCTGGAAATGGTCAATAGGCCCCAAAACACTTCACAGCACGAGTCTCAGGAGCTGGGCTTCCTGCTTATCCCTAGGTTTGGTCTAATGATATTAATTCAATATAAATTTGCATTGGGGAATTTCATTCATGGCAGTAGAGGGTCAAGCATTTATAAAGGAAATAAATTATTCTCATCAAGTTTAAAGTCAAATTATGAATTATGATGAAGTCATAATGTGGCACATAATTCTTGAACTACAGAGAAGATTAATGACATCATAACCAGTTTATGTTCTTAACTGAGGCTACTCAATACTAAAATAGTGAAAATATGTACAAATGTTCACAGCATGTTAGGTTTCATCTCATTTCTAGGCTTGAACACAATTACTTAGAAAATTTCTCCAGCTATCTCATACCTGAGGAATTTTAGAATCCTGTAAGGAGCTATTCCACTTATTTTTTGGACAACTCTCAGATTCCAAGTCTCTACATTACCAAAAATAGAACTGACTGCAGATGAAGCTAAGCGATGTGAAACATTTCCCATTCTCTGTCATGGAAACAACCAATCTGCTACCATCACACTAAACAATGGTGTGTGTACTCACTTTCCTACCAATATTTCTATGTGAATTTCTGGGATATGTTCTGCTATATCTCTCAATCAGAATTATCAGAAACTCTCAGTGAGAAAAGAAAATCATTAAATGACTATTCATTATGTTTTAAAAAATACTTCTTTAAACAATATGCCCCTCCACTCATTTAGAATATGATTTAGGAAAAAAAAAGTGAACAATTTGTCATATAAAAACCGTATTTAGAGCATTAAATTTCAGGTACATATATTTTATAAAGCATTATTAAAAAGTATACCTTATACAAAAGAGAGGAATTGGCTATTTAACATACATGTGTTAATATACATATGTGTGTGTATGTACATTATATATAGAGAGGTATGTATGTTAAAATATATATTATATATATTTATATTTTTCCTTTTTGTTTAAATGAAGATAAGAAGAAGCCTGTGAGATAAGCCTGAGGACCTTTCTTATACAAGAGACTTTACAGTTTGGTCCTGGGTTACCAATAATCTTATTTAGGTTCTAAGCCATAGGTACAAAAAAGAAATAGGATGATTCTAACACTCTCTTTAGGGTCTTTGTGCCCTTATATATTGACTCCTAGGTACGGTTGTGGTATCTGAAGTATTGCAGCTAGAGGAAGGGATATGTAAACATATCAAATCACCTGGAAATACTTAAAGTTCTCTTGGTGTGAAACTAAAGAAATTCTTATTTCTTACTCTAAAAAGCCAAAACTAAGGAGAGAAATATACCCCCCAAATCATAATCCTTTTCAAGATCCAAAATAAATCGGCTGTTATCTACTCCACTCACTTCCATCAGCATAAGAAAAGAACTGACTGCATACTTGTTTCCTATTTTCATGACTCAATATAGTATATTTAGAGTATCTGCCTTCATAAATACAATTTTATTACTGAGTAAATTTTCTTAATTAAAAGATACACATAAGTTCTTTCCTCCCAAAAAGTACAGCAAGCTCTTGATTACAAATATGGCTATATGTAGTTAATCACAGTAAATTTAAATTTCAAACTAGCGTGCTAATACTATCCTCTTATACTTCTGCTCTATCTGTTCCCCTTTTGAAAAACCATATAAATAAATAATAAAAATAAAACACTAACGAATATGTAAGCTATTTTCCTTGGGAGAGGGGTGAGGGCAGTACAAGAGTACAACATAATCCAAATAGAAACAAATACTTGAATGATACATCATTTTGTATTGCTTCTCAGTACTATGAAAAACAGAGGGTATTTTTTGCTTTGCTTCATATTTTGTTTTTTACTACAGATAATAAAAAGTGTAAGATTTATGCACTTAGAAATATAAACATTCAAGTTGTCATTTAAACTTTAGACAGTACTTAACCTTCGGTTTTTAGACAATCTACCTTTCCCTATATAATACGACTTCCCTAAAGTGCTTCTGGATGTTAAATTTAGACTGTTCTGCAATATTTGAATTATTCAACAGTGGCAGTCTCCACCAGTCCGTTCAACTTGATTTTCACTTGATTTGAGAACACGGCCTGTTCAGAATTAGGAGCCTGCTTGCAGTTATATTTCAATCGCATTTTTTGTTGTTAAAAAATAATTTTTTTAAAATTTATACAACAGCTTCATGAGAGATACAGAGTTAAGGATTTGCCAGAGGTACTTCATAGTTTTACCTAGTTTGACCAACTTCCTGACCTTTACCCCATTCCCTGTTTATCCCTTACATAAAGGAATATTTAAAAGTGTAACCATAATGCTAATTAACTAGGAAGGCTGAATCCTAAAAACTTTACAATGTTTGCCTTATCTGCATAATATCTATACTACTATTTATACATTATTGTTTATTAAATGGACTCAAGCCTAGCACCACTGTAATATCACAGATTTCTGCCAGTTCTGTATGTTCTGAGGAATGTTCTTAAACTACAATAGTCATGCATTTATTTTAACGTGTATTTGTGCACCACCAAAAGTCATGTTGGGTACCACAAGGGGCAAGTGCATCACACTTTAGGAAACACTGCCTGAGAGACTCATTTTGCTTATATAGACCCAAAGTTTGTTCCTACATAGCTTCTTCCAAATGGTTCTAGCTTGGCTTTCTGTTATAACATTAAAACGAGCCTTCTTTGTTCACTATACATAACATATTCCAAACAGTTGAAAATATCAGTTATGTCTTCTCTTAATTTTATATTCTCCAAAGTAAACAGATCCAACTCCTTCATCTAGTGACAGGACATGATTTTTATTCATTCCAAGTCATTTTTGTCACTGTTCATCATCACCCACTGCCACAGCTAACTTTTACTTTCAGAACTGTTCTAAATACTTTACATGAATGAATTCATTCCCTTCTAACAACAAACCCCCTGAGGCAGGCAGCATGTTATCTCTCTTTTAGACATAGAGAATCTGAGTCAAAGTGAAGTTAGGCAGACTGTCCAAGATCACACAGTTAGGAACAGAAAAGTTGGGTTTAAATCCAGATAATCTGGCTCCAGAGTCTGTGGCATCAAGCACGATGAGCTACTGTTAAACCACTACAAAAAAATACTGATGTATAATTTATTACTAAATATTGGTTTTCAAAGTCAATAATATTAGTTATGCTTGTTGGTTAAGTAATACAACTTACTTAATCAATTGCCTAATACTGAGTTAAATCTGCAATATCCTGAAAAAGGACTAATTTAAAAAGTAGGTCTGCATACTGAGATGCCACAATTTCTTTAATCAGTCAATAATATTTAAGAATAATTTAGTATAGGCTAGAGCCTTGGTATTAACATCACTTAACTCCCATATCTCCCAGGGAGACAATATGCTAAGAATATAGTTGAATTATAAGTAGCTAAAAAGTAGCTCAAGAAAAATTTCCCCTTACTTTTTAGTGTCCTTTGCCTACTTCTCTCTTCAATAACCTTGGTGTCTACAAAAAATCATTTAAATTTTTAATATTCAAATATTTCCTTACCCTATAAATATATCGAATTTTCTGATTCTTGCTTCCCCTCTTAACTAATGATCGCAAATGAACAAAAGAAATTTTTTCTTTTTGGATCAAATTGTCTCTACTGACCTAAATACATTTTGATGTCCTAGTTTCATTATCTTTTTTTCTGCCCTAGTCCTTGCCAGAAAAAGTTCAGAATTTCCAGAATGGCTTACTGTACTGAGTATGAATTGTGGACCCAAAGTGGCAGACTACAAAGAGTGCCCACATAATAAAAAAGCAGATTTGTCCACAAGATGCAATTCTTGCTTGAAATAAAATATTCTTGTGTCTATTATGTGATGAAACTTACAACCTAACAACTAGATTATTTATAAGGGCTTTAGGCAACTAATGAAATCAATTAGTTTAATAATGTTTAGTGTAACCACTAAAAATAGTGGCTTCTAAGCCCTTTGCTCACATAACTGACATATTCTATTGTGATGACATATACTTCTGAATCATCCCAGTTTACTATGCATTCAGCAATCTAAGAACATCTGTGAATGATCTAACAAATTATCTCAGAGTATTTTCCTTCAGATGGATTTTAACAGCACACGTGAAACATATGCAAATTCCAATTTTCCAATCTAATTGCTTTTTTTAGAAGTTAAAACAGAAATGTGAATGATCTTTATTTACCACAAAGACTGTTCCAAAAAAAAGTATTTAAGGAAGTCAGGATCAATATATGAATAATTTGTTGTTACCTAAACCTATCATTATATTATAAATCAAGCCAAGAGAATAATAAAAATTATGCTCTATGTTCAGTTTTGTAAACTCAATTTCAACATTATTTTTAGTCATAGATTTAGTGTTTGGAGACCAGCAACTCAAATGATATGGTTTTTTAATTCTATGGTAGAAAAAAAGTTGAATGAAGAAGTCTCGGAATGCAATTTCTCGTATCTTTCTGGTCAGACTATGTAAAAAACCATAATTCACTGAAGTAACAAATGTGTCCTACTGGACTGTTGGAAGGTGTAGCCTGGACATGACCTCAGCTTAGAGTGCACAGTCTGGCGCAGTGTTTGTACCTCAACAATTCTACCTCTGACCATCCTTAAAGATCCTAATAGAAAACTCTGTGCTTAGACTAGGCTGGCAAGTGATGGGAAATTCAATACGTAGGAGTCAGATGTTGAATGAACCAATCAATCACCTCACCAAATGCTTTGCTTCTTTAATTTTTCTCTCATTTCAAAATCCTATCTACCTTGACAATCTCCTGGTAGCCTGGACTTTATTCCCATCTTTCTGTCACTATAGTCTTTACTTAATATTATAACATTAGTTCACGTGGTCTAGCTTTATGTTGGCCTTTTTTTCTGCCTTTGTTCTCCAACTTCACTGCCATGTTTTTTCAACAAAGCTTTAGTTGAAAAGAAGAGCCAAGCCATTCTAATGATATAATTATGTATTTTAAAGTAAATACTATATTATTCCTTCTTCTTCCTACTTCCCTTTCCTCATCCACCCTCTGATTTACCTTTGTGGAGGATATTTTAATCCTCCATGTCTTGGATGTGCCAAGTACTGTGATTCTCTGAATACAATGTTTGTCCAAAAGGAAGAAAATAAATTTTAATGAAAGTTTATTTCTTCTTCTTCTAACTCTGGTGAACTTCACTTTGTAAATTTTCTAGTTAGAATACATTAAGTTAGGGCGACCACCATATTTACAGAATCACCAGTATTTTTCTTAAACATAAACATGAGTGCTATATTAAGTTCTATGTACTTTGCAAACATTATCTCATTTAATTCTCATAATAAACCTTGAGATTGTTATTCTTATTTCACAGATGGGAAACTAAGGCTCACAGAAGTTAAGTTACTCGCCCAAGGTCATACCATAAACTGAAAAGCCAATATTCAAACTCAAGACTGTCTCCAAAGTCTGTGATCACTGAATTAAACCATACTTCACAAATACACTTCAATGACTGCTTTGCCAGCCAGAATACACTCAAACTTCTAATTCTCCTTTCTATACAGAAATGAGTTGCAGCTTTATTTTTATACGTATAAAAAGATTAACTTGTGTGTATGTGAAAGGTTTAGAGAAACATATATTCAATCCTCTTTATTTATATAAATCAATTGGAAACATAAAATGTTTTTATAAAACTTACCATTTAACATCAACAGATTGTCAGTTCCTGGATGTGGATAGCTCAATCGACCTTTAAAAAGACAGGAAAGGAAAGTTTGACGATCATGGAGCTATTTGAAAAGCCAAAAAAAGAGGGAAGAGGGGTAAGGAGGAAATGATTGAGCACAGTATATTTCTTAAGAACTAAAATTCTCAACTAAACTTAAGAGCTAATGTTTAACTCAAAGTATATTAACTAAAATTATCTCTGCAAGTTTAAAAAAAAAACAAAAAACAGTTAACTTTAGTTTCTAGATAATAAGAGCACAATGTGATTTGGGAGCAATGCCTATAGAATAAAGCCTATTTCTTTTTTGAAATGTAAAAACAATGTAGGTATCCTCGTCTTTCAAACCTAATACAGCATGTGGAAATTTTTAAATATTTTCAAAGCTATCTGTAGTTTTATCTACAGATCTTTTTCCAAAAATAAAACTTGAAGAAATTTATATTCCTAGATAAAAAATAAGCAGCAAAAACTCATCACAACTTGCCATTTAATTCGGTATGATTTTATTTAGTTGTATTTAAATGAAGTTTAATGAGAACATCTTAAATGTATTACTACAAATGTTACTGGAAATTTAACTTGTTCAAAGTTTACAAGTGGCATAAAATAAAAATACAAAAAATGAAAATATTAAAGCTTAAGAGCATAGTAGCATAGTATTTCCTTTGAGTCATTCTTCATTCAGAGTTTTGCATTTACTAAAGGCAGAAGGGTCAACAGTACAATATACTGCTGTGGATAAGAAAAAAGATATGCATGAACATACTGTGCCTTATCCAGAATTTTTATATCATAACACTTCGACTAAATGCAAATGGCAAGGATGATCAAGATTTTTAGTCCATTAAAATATAGGACTTTCCTCTAATGCCTGAATCTCTGTAGACTATTAGAAACGTACAATAAAATTCATTTAGAAAACTGCTAAAAATTAAATGTCTATGAGATTGCATTTTAGCAACTTTCAGCACAGTCCCTTTAAAAAGACACTATGATAGTGTGTAATGTATTGCCACCAAAAGCGTTACTGATAAATATCTGAATGAATTTGACACGATTAGTAATGAGTACAACCTCAGCAAGTATGCTAGACTCTATAGGCCCTTTATTATATCCAAATATCCCATAAGACAGAGATTTTCTGTTGGCTTTTGTTTTAATTATGAAGTTAAAGAATCTGGTCATCTACCAATGCAAGAGCGAATGGCAAAAAGATAATCCAATTCTAACATTAAAATAAATATATATATATTAGATAGACACATAGATATACACATACACCTATACACATACACTTCATCTAAGCTCTAATTTAACTACAGCACATTTTGTTTTCAGACAACACAGTTAAACAAAATAAACAAAATAAATTGTCCTTCAAAGGACAATTTAGCACCTCTTATTTACTCCTGAGTGTCATGCAGCATGACATCAAACAAAATGACCTCTTAAATAAAGTTATCATACTCTAAAAGCCACAAATAAGTTTATTGTTGTGTTACCTTAGCACAGAGTGAGAAACAGGAGCATATGTACAAAAGGTACAAGATAGAGTTAGGAAGCAGAGCTTTCCTAAACTGGATTTCAATAGCATGGAGGAGAACTTTGTCTGAAGTATCACAGCTAATTTTGGAAATATGCCTATGTCTAAGTGCTGATGACCAAATTTAGAGAACAATTTAAGGCTATTAAAAAATTACTGTTATTGCTGACTTGAGACTGAAAATCAAAACCCCTACACAAATGGCAATCTGTACTGCTGTTCAGTATAGCAAGTCCATTAAGTCTTGCACACTGACAGTGTGTAGGATGCTGAGGATACAAATATGAGTGAGATACAGTCTCTGCTTATGATGTGATAGGGGAGACAGACACAAATATACAATTTCAATAAAATCTGCCCAGTATGGAAAGAGTTATGTACAGTTAGCTTATAAAAAAACAAGAGTATTTAACCAAGCCCAGGATTCAGGCAAGACTTCCTAGAACAGTAGACTAAGCAAAGCCTTAAGCCTAGTTCCAGTTCAAAAGACACTCAACTTCCAATTGTCACATAATTATCCTTTAACAGGTTCATTGTTCAATTTATCCCAAGACACAAGTAACAAGATATTTTCATCACTAATTGTCTTTTGACTTCTTGGCTCTGAATAGACTAAAGGCACACCACATGTGGAAAGTTCAAAAGACAGATACCTATTTTCAAATGGGTATCTATTTGTATATATGTTCTAAAATATCATTCACCAAACAGGAAAATCTCTTAATATAATAAAGTACTCCAAAATGAAATAAGCAAATTTAGACTCATTTTTAAATTATCCAATTACTTTTCCTCTAGCACAGTGAAATAATAATACATCTTTACAAGTTAACTTTTACAGTTGTATTTTACCTAGGATAGTATTAAAACTACTTTCACTAAGAACCTGCCAACTTATAGTAATAAGCAACATTGAGGGCCTACTATGTGCCAGGAGCTTCTGTAAGTTCTTTACCACCTTTTATTTAACCCTCACAGCAATCTGATGAGTTAGGTACTATTATCTTCCCATTTGAAGATGAAGACACTATGCCATAAAAGGTTAAATAACTTGCTCAAGTTTATGCCACTGGCAGGTAGAGTTGAGCTAAACTGCCTAGGATTCGAACCTAGGCAGTTTAGCTCCATACTCTTAATCACTATCTTATAACGACTTCTTAGTTGATAACATAATATAGAGAAAGTTATATATGGTTGGTTGTAGGGCAAATTCATCCTTTCAAAAAATTCACAGAATGATTATGTAGTATATTAGATAACTTATACTTTAATACAAAAAAAATAGAAAAAAAAAACTGCATTGCTATAAAACCAATTTCTCCCTATTGTCTAAAAGGCCTGTGGCACACAGACTGGTAGTTGTATACTAACACTTCCTGTCAATAATAGGACCCCCAAATGCTAGACAGGCACAGGGCTGCCTGGAGTAAAAAACTAAATTTCCCCACCTTCCTTGTAGTTAAGTGTGCCCATGTGTAGTTAAGATCTGGTCAATGGGATGTTAAGCAAATATGCTATGTGCAGTTTCTGGTAAGTATGCTTAAAAGGGAAGATCTTCCCTTTCCTTTACCTTTTTCTTGCTTGCTGGAATGCAGATGTGATGGCTAAACAAAACATCCATATTAGATCACAAGGCAGAAGATGGTGTTAAGGAGAGCAGAACAACAAGACAGAAGGAGCCTAGGTCCATGAAAATCACCATATCACTTCTTAGGAGTGTTCTGTTTATGTAAGAGAAATAATTCTATCTTGTTTAAGCCACTTACAAGTTTTCTGTTGTCCCAGAAGAAACTAGCCTTACAAATAGAGTTGGCTAGTAATAAATTCGGGCAAATTGAATATTAGGTAACCAGGCTATTGCTTATTTATTATTGTGGAAATATGATAAAGTATAATAATTTCATGATGGTTTTAATATATTTATAGTTAATGGGTATATACTATCTCGGCACTTCTTTCACATTAAGATACTATGGAATTTAAAATAATTTTGAAAAAAATATATATATTCTTAGGTGTCAGTAAACAACTAGAGGACCTAAGTATCTTAAAAATTATCTTATTAGTCTATTACGGTTTTAAAAGTAATATGTATAATACATATATAAAAGACAATTCATGTTAGCCATTTTAGATGCATTTTTGATCAACAAAAAACACTGAGAAATATAACAACCGCATACAACTTATTACTTGTATAGACAAATTACCAGTTATTAAAATTTTAACAAAGCAGTATTTAAAGACATGCAATAAGCCAACATTAAAGACTATTCTTTCTCCAAAATAATTGCTTAGTACCAATAAAAAGAACTTACAAAATGCTCATGATAAAAAATAACATTTCTTATGTCACTTTTCCTTGAATTTAAACCTACTTTTAAACTTGTTGAAACGTAGAATTAGGAAGGATAAAATGAAGCGATCACTTCCCCAACATCTCTTAATGTTTGTATAACCTCAAGCTGAAAGCCTCTACTAGCAAGAAGATGTCCATTTGATGAAGAATCATCTTATTTCCCTTCCCAGATATCATACTCTCTTGTTTCTCCTCTATCACCAGCCACTCCTTAAATCTCCTTTGCTGTACTCTCCTCTTCTCAGCCTTTGAATGTTGAAGCCTCAGTGTCCAATCCTTGGACTTGACTTCTCTTTCTACAATGCCTCCCTAGGCATAAACTGCCAAACTTTATACATGATCTCTAAACAGATGACTCCCACATTTATATCTCTAACTGCAACCTCTCTCCCTCAACCCTGTACTTCCCCAGATCAACATATGGCACTGCCTTCCACCTGGATACACATCCCAAAATCTTGGGTTAACTTTACTCCCTACTCTATCTAATTTGTGTACAAATCTGTCAACAAATCCTGACTGCTCTGTTATCAACATAGACCCAAATTTGATTGCTCTTTATCAGCTCCTTCATATCTCCCTAGCCCAAGCCATCTCCAGCTCTTCACAGTCTACTAAAATAACCTAACTGGTATCCCTACAGTCTAGTCTCCATTCAGCAGTCTGTGTGATCCTTTTAAAACCTAAGTCAGCTCACGTTGCTCTATTGCTCAAAACCTTTCCACACTTACAATCAATATCTGGCCCCTCATCCTCTATAATTCTAACCACCCTAGCCTCTTTGCTATTCCTTAAACATGCAAGCCATATTCCCATTTCAGGAACTCTATATTTCCTCTTCCTTCTGCTTGAAATTATTTTGCCCAGGTATGACTAAAGCCTGCACCTCTCACTTCATTCAGGTCTTCAACAGATGCCATCACAGACTATCCTGTCTAAAATAGCAGCTTCTTTCTCTATCCCCTTGACACTATATTTTTTCTTCATAGCACTGATTCTTTTTGTCTCTACCCCTTGTTAAAATAGAAGATTCATGAGGTCAGGACTTTGTCTTTTTTTATTCTCTACTGTATCTCTAGCATCTAAAACAGAGTGTAGCACATAATAGGCTCTCAAATA